ACTAGAGGTTAAGGTGTTGGCCTCTCATTCAAAGGTCCCGGGTTCGATTCCGGGTAGCGACCGAAAAAAATGTTTCTCTAAAATTGTCTTCTCACACCTCCTTTCCTGCTCTCTTGTAATATTCTGTCATCTGCTTTCTTCTCCTGTTTCTGCCCCCATCCCTTCACCTCCTTTGCCCACTCCTCTGGGCTCCTGACGCTTTCTGCAGCCTTTCTACTGCTACTCCTTGGCTCCTTCTTACTGCTGTCTTTCAGCCACACCCCTAATCTTCTGGTAGGAAAGATCTACACCTAGCCTTCTCGGACAAGGGCGAAAAATCTCGGAGGGCACGTGTGTAAGTTGCACACGTTAAAGATCCCTTGGTGGTCTGCAATCGATTAGAGTAGGTTTCGGCCGCCACCCGGGCAAAATTCAAAATTTCCTACCAACTGAGAAAGTTTAATGTGTCCCGCGCGCTCATATTATGCAGTTGCGAGCGCCGTAAAACACTTGCAAAAAAAAAGTCCTCAGGGAAAGATTTTCGATTGAGACGTTGTGTAATAGAAATATGTAGGCTACCTTAATTAAGTAAAACCGTAGGGAAAGATTTCTGCTTGAAACATTGTACATGTATTATAAAAATATGTACCTTGATTAATTAAGCAAGACCCTTGGGAAAGATTTCCGCTTGAAACGTCGTACACGTAGTATAGAAATTAGAAATAGAACTATGTACCTTAATCAAACAAGACCGTGGGGAAAGATTTCTGCTTGAAACGTCATACATGTCTTATAGAAATATGCGAAGTATCGTGGCGAACTCAAAATAATGAAATCGAAGAAATTGGCAGTTTTTTGTCCGTTTGGCAATTTTTTTTTTTCGATTTGGTTGTTTGACTCGCACCTTTAAAGCCCTTCTAAAAACACATTTCTGTGTGGATTTTACAAAGAAATGTTGATTTAAGGGAAAAAAATATGTACATTTGCAGTTTTTAAGGACTCTCTAGCTTTGCAAGTCGCCTAACTTTGGCAGCCTTTTTCTCGCTAATTTTACCTCTCAAACAAGACGACCCCCATCTCCTTCAATAGCAAATATCTCGACTTCTACTAATGAGAGACAAGTATATTTTTTCACTGAAAAAAAGACAAATGACCAAGCCTTGAATTGATACCAATCACTCCACATGTCTAAAAATTGACCAGCACATGATTCCACTGCGTTGTGACATACATGTACCTTAATTAAGCAGGAACGTGGGGAAAGATTTCAACTTCAAACGTTTCGTAATAGAAATACCCATTTCCAGTCTCTCTCTCTCTCTCTCTCTCTCTCTCTCTCTCTCTCTCTCTC